AGACACTACATTCTATCCACAACACAGGGAAGGAAGAAAGAAAAGAGAAAGAAAAAGAGAGAGGTGGCATAGCTCAAGTGGTAGGGTACCTGTTTTCCAAGTATGAAGTCCTGAGTTCAAACCCCAGTCCCACTGAAAAAACGGTGGCTCACGCCTGTAGTCCTAGCTACTCAGGAGGCAGAGATCAGGAGGATCTCGTTTGAGGCCAGCCCACGCAAATAGTTTGCAAGACCCTATCTGGAAAAACAAAATACAGAACAGGGCTGGCGGAGTGGTTCAAGATATAGGACCTGAGTTCCCCAGCACACCAAAAAAGTAAAAAAATTCAGTAGTTGTATAAAAGCCAAAAACAAATTTACCAATATTTAGAGTAGCAATGCTCAAGTTCTGGAGGTCTGGAGTCACGGGACCCTTCTGCTGCTGCCCTGGACCGCCATGGATGTCAGCAGTTCTGTTCCAGGGTCTATGACGTTGGTCTTCCTCCTGGCTCCATCCACGCTGCTCCTTCAGTCTTATGTTGACATTCCCACCCCAGTGGCCCCTCGTTCTTCCTCATTTCTTCCTGTCTCCTTTACCCTCAGGCAAAGTGGAAAAAGGAGCAATGGGTGGAAGAGAACCTCCCTCTTGACCCAAACCTTTCCTCCTCCCCAACCCTCCTGCTCCAGGAATTCTGAGCACTGTCCCAGCCATGAGGCCCACCATAACTGCCCATGGATCTGCTGTATGCTGGACAGCCTCAGCCAGCTCAGGCCGGTGTTGTCCACAACCATGACAATATAAAAGGCTTGATCTTTGGCCCTGGACCCAAAAACACCAGAGTGTGGCTCCTGCTCCAGGCACGTGTGGAGCAGATACCCGCCCCAGGTTCCACTCTCCTAGAACTTGAAGTGTCATTTTGCCAGAGAAAACAGCCACAACAGAACAGAAGCCCCAACCAGGTAAGTTTTCAATCAAGCTTTTAATGAAAAGATCATAAAATAACAGTTTCTCATCACTGTACATTAAGACTGCACGCTTCTAAATGGAGAGATCAGTGGTCGGTCAATCGCTTTTCTATGACACTGGAGGGCTGCATACTTGCAACTCTGACCTGAATTTATCTAAACTCTGAGGGAAGTGAACTCAATATGATGAGTGACAACGGCGGTGGCCAGTACAGGAGTGCGATCTCGGTGTCCCTTCCCCTCTCTGGGAAGGGCATAAGAGGGCATAAAATAGGACATGATCCCTCTTCCAATTCCAATTAAACAAAACAGCTATAAACCCCATCCCTTCCCCTCCCCCTCGAGGTATTTGCAAATGGGCCAGAGCCCAACCCGGTGCCCCCCACCAAGGGAGGCAGGGGGAAGCAAGTAATGGGTGGGGTACAGAGAGGCTCCCCTCAGCACCTGGCCCCACGGGGTCCTGCCAAGTGGAGGGGGGGGACCCTGGGGACCCTCCCTGCCCCAAGTGAGGTCTGTTATGCAGCATTTTTGAGGTCAATAAATTACAGCAATAAATAGCAAGGTGAGGTAGGGGGGAGGGGTTCCTGTAGAAAATTAAAGTGGGGTAACTGAAGCTGGGGCATCCTAGGAAGGGGGTCCTGGGCAGCCTCAATTCCCACAGCTCCCACCCATCCCCAGTTTGGAATGTCAGACTGAGGCTCTGGTCAGGTCCTTCTCCATTCCCTCATTCCTGGCATCCACTTCACAGGTTCAGTAACATGGGCCCCAGTGTGACTGGGGAACAGGAGGACCTTGGTCCCTTCTGGGGGCACAGCAGAGCTGAGAGCCCAACTGCTCCTCTCAGGCCTGGCACAGATTCAGCATTCCTGAGCCCTGCCCTCCAAGCTGCCCAGGCCTTCCCCCCACTCAGGATGGCCGCAGGAGGGCAGTCACCCTGCCACCAGCCTAGCCTGATCGCACTCCTGCACAGGGGCCTGAGGTCCAGTGAATACTGTCGGCATGGGGGCCACGGGCAGGTGGCCCAGGACCCTGTAGTGGTGATGGAGGGAAACCCCCCGCTGCATGAGGTCAGGAGAGTCAGTCTGGGTCCAGATTGTTCAGTTCACAGGCTGAGGTGTATGGCTATGCTGCAAGTCTCTGAGATTTCTTATTTGCTCAAAGGTGGGTTTTTTTTTTTTTGTTTTTTGTTTGTTTTTTTTTTTGTTTTTTTGCCTTTTTTGCAATCCTGGAGGAGCCCTTGCTGTGGCTCAGTCTGGTGGGAGTGGGCAGTGGAAGAGCCCGGCCTACCACCACCCACTTGCCCCAAGTCTGAGAAATAAATACATTCATCACTGCACAAACATATTGATACAAAAACAACACTGTTGAGAGTGTTTGCACCGTCTGTGTTGGTAAGGACCAGGCCCAGTCAGTCCCTTCCACTGGCTGGGGGAAGTGATCTGCTGGAGTCAACTGAGCTGTGCAAAAGTCCCTGCTTTTTGGCTTGAGTGAGACCCTCACATCAACCCACCCCCAAGGGTCACGGGCAGAGCAGCAGGGAACGCTCGCCTCCACCCCGGGGTCCAAGCCCAGACTCAGGTCCTGTGGCCAGAGCTGACAGCCACCCCATGTTGTGCCAGATGGCCAGAACCACTAAGATCCAGCCAGGAGGCCTGGGGGGCTAGTCAGCACAGGCCCAAGCTCTTTGGTGCCAGCTGGGCTTGGAGAGGCCCCAGGAATGGGGATGAGGGCCCTGGTGACTCCAGGGAGGCTTTCCACCTGTTCCTCGGCTCCCAGGGCTGCTTCTGCCCGTGAGTCACTCCAGGGCCAACTCAGGACCCTCAGCAGAAGGTGAGGATTCCCTGGGACTGGCCTTACAGCTGCTGAGGTCTGAAACTGTAAAGATTTATGTAAACAATGAGATAAATATATTAGTATCTTTTTCTGAGCCCATTGAGGTTCCATACTCATTCAAAATGTGCTTTGGTTTAAAAAATAGGTTTTGTGAATTTGGGTATGAGCTTTTTTTTTTTTTTTTTTTTCTTTTTTTTTTTTTTTTGTTTGTTTTGTTTGTCATCTTTCCTATGTGACATCTGCTATTTTCTGTTTCCTGTTTCTCCGAAACATTCAGGAATTAAATGACTAAAGCAGAGAACTGTAAGCCGCCTTTGCCTCCTACGGCCTAATTTCCTTGTGAGACTTTTAACATACACACACACACACACACACACACACACTTGCAAGCACACACCAACATGGAATCAAAAGAAAAGGAAAACAAAGCCAAGTGTTGTGTCCACCCCACCCCATCCCACCCACCTTTATTTTAAATAGGAAACTAGTGTTTTGCTTTCTCATTAAAATACAAAAAAGGCTTGATACAATACTAAGGTGGGTACAATACTATGTCGCACAGACGCCATTGAGTGGGGGGCTTTGCTCCCAGTCCCTGAAGTTCTGTAGAGGAGTCACCTACTTTCCAGTCACCTCACAGATATGGCTGCCCATGGCCTGGGAGGCCACATAGGCCACCGGGCACACGCACAATCCCCGTGCGGTGCCGCAGTACAGACTTTGTGTCGTGTGGCTTAAGTGCTGATGAGGTGGGTGTGGGTTAGAGAGCAGGCAGCTGGCACAGTCCTGCCCTCTCTCCCTGTGTGGAGTGGAGCCCAGGGGTTTCCTCAGCATAATTTGCTGGAAGTGAGACCTGGGTCCAGATTTCCAAATCTTACCCAACAGAAAGAATTGGGGAAAACCAGCTCAGGACTGGGGCACTACAGGAGGGGCTCAGCCAGGAGCCCTCGTGTGACCTCACTCCCTTAATCCCAGAACACACCATTCACCACTCGGGTCCCTGAATTTGGGCTGTTTTAGGTTGGAGGGTCTCTAGAGGTGTGGAGCTAGAAGATAACTAGAATTTTTGGTCTGAACTTAAAACTGAAAGGAAAAAGATTAAAAAATGAAGAAAAAACCAAAAGCATGAAGCAAAATGAAGACAAAGCCTGCTGGCCCAGTCCTGTGGCTCAACTGGTCAAGGACATTGGGGATCAAGCATGGCAACCTTTTGTCTGGCCTTGAGCCCAGCTGGAGCCACTCAAATATCTGAGGGTTGTTGAGAAGGTCAGGTACCAGGAAATGTGTTGGACCCCAGACAGGGCCAGGACTGCTCAGCAGTGCAATCCCATTCCCTGTTGCTGTGGTCACCTCCTGTTCACAATGCAAGGCCAAGAGGGGCTGCAGCTTTCCCAGCTCCAGGTGAGGGGACAGGATTGGAGAGGGGGGGCTCACTTCCACCTTATCCTGGTCCTGGCAGGAGCTTCATAGAACTGTTCCCTCCTCATGGCTCCTGTTAACTCAGGTGCTCAGCACCTGCCCCAACTTATGCCCAGAAGGGCTGCTGGGACTGGCCGGAGCAACTGGCTCAGCCTCAACTACCAGTCACCAAAGTACTGTACTGTCGTCGTGAATTCAAGAGGTAGCAAAAAGTCAGAAGTCTCTCTACCTTGTTCAGCGAGGAAGGAAAGCGAAACATCTGTCCATACATGCAGCACACACCACACTCACTCACACACACAGAAATGAAAATCGAGTACCAACGGCTCTGGCAGCAAGTCCAGCCTATCCCCACCCCCCCAAATCCCAGACTTTCCAGTTCCAAAAGTCCCATAAACATTACATGGGGGTTTCTCAATAAAAAAACAAGTACCTTTAGACAAAGGATATTCCTCAGAAACTATAGGAAAAGCATGTTCTCCTGAGGCAGCCCAAGTAGGGCTGAGGACCAGGGAAGCCTTTGGGCAAGAAGGGCTTCTGGGGTCTGGAGAGGTGGGCTCACCAATGTGCCCCACATGCCAGGGATGGGGGTACAACACAGAGGGGCAGTAACCCCGGTTACATTCAGTCTGCAGACCCAGGCTCAGCCCCAAAGGGGCAGGCGGAAAATAAACAATTGTTTTGGTTTAAAAAACAGAATTCAAAATTAAAAAAAAAAAAAAAAAAAAGGAACAGATCAGTAGGAATAACAGCAACACAGGCCCAGAGGGCTCTTTAGTTGTAGAGAGGTAGGCGGTGGGGTCACCCTGACTGTCCCAGCGCCAGAGAGCAGTGCTACCCTGGCTTAAGAGGGGAAGGAGCTGCCCCCCAGCACCTGCTCCACAGAGCCAGGGTTGCATGCACCCACACACAGACACAAGCACACGTGTACACACACAGACACGGTCCCTGCCAGTGAGGGCCTGCTCCAGACATCATCCCTGGCCACAGGCAGCCCTGCGCCTTACCAGCATAGAGGGGGGGGGCCCCTTCCCCTTCTCTAGCCCAGCCTGCAGGAAAGGGACCAGGTCCCAGCAAGACCCATGTGTCCCACTTCCCACTGGCTCCACAGCAGCCCCTGAAGAGAGCTGGGGAGCTGCGTGGGACAGGGAGGTAGAATGGTCACCAGCACCACATAGGGCTGAGCCCATCGGCTTTTCCCCTCCTGGCTTCCCCTGGTACAGACTGATGATTAAAGCTCTGGGGTATGAGGAGGCTGAGCTGGAGGGGCTGCCAGGAGCCTCCTGCTGGACCTTGGGGCTCAGCCCCTCCCACCATACCTCCTCATCGCTCCTTCCGTGGGTTCCCAGGTGACAAGTCTGCAGAGGGTGCCCCGGGTCTTTGGCTTCTAGGAGGGGGAGGTGTGCATGCGCAGGTGGCTGATGAGGTTGCGCTGCTGGGTGAACTTGCCCCCGCAGAGCTGGCACTCATAGGGCTTCTCGCCTGAGTGCACACGCATGTGCTCAGTGAGGCGATACTGGCGGGTAAAGCGCATCCCACACTCATCACAGGCAAAGGGCTTCAGGCCCAGGTGGCTCCGCATGTGGCGTGTCATAGTGCCACGCTGGGTGAACATCTTGCCACAGATGTTGCAGGGGAAGGGCCTCGTCAGCCAGTGCGTCTTCTCGTGCTGCCGAAGAGTGGCCGGGTCCTTATAGGTTTTCTCACAGACCGAGCACTTGAAGGGCCGGGGCTCAGCTGCATAGGCTGAACTGGGTGCTGACAGGTCCTCTGCCTCCTCCTCAGCGCCTCCGCTGCCCGTCTCATAGGCCCCCTCCTCCTTGATGAACAGCTCCTCCTCTGTGTGCGTCTCCACATGAGCGTTGAGCTGCTCAGAGCTGGGGAAACCCTTGGCGCAAGGAATGCAGACATACAGGTTGTCCCCATATGACACCGTCTCATAGCCCTCCTGCCGATACATGTAGTGGGCACCAGCATGGCCACTGCCCCCCTCACTACCACTCTGCCCACTGTCCTCGCTCCCATCCTTGCCATTCTCTTCCTCTTCCTTGCATGGGTATGGGGGCTCCCCATAGGCCACACTGGGGCCACCCCCACCACACCAGTGGCCAGAATGCCATTAGGGACCCTGTCCCCAAGCCCCTCAACCTCCTCTCCCGGGCAAGCGCCCTTGGGCCCTGTTTCTCTCCGCTCAAAGGGGGACCCAGAAACAGGCTCCTTCTTGCTCCATTCCTTCTTGCGGGCTGAATGCCGGAGACTCTTCCGAGGTTGCCCACCTGGACCCTCAAGCAGGCTCAGGGGGTTGTCCTCAGCCCCCTCCAGATCCATGGGCTCATCAGGAGTGCCCCCCAGCTCGGTGTAAGAGGCACTGTTGGCAACGGGTGGGACAGAGGCTGACGGGGGTGAGCTGTGTTGGCTGTCGCTCAGCTGGGCTGGGTCATCAGGGGTGAGGTGGGGGCCAGAGGTTGTGGGGGGCAGGGGTGGGCTCTTCTTGGACAGGTCCAGGCCCAACTCCTGTTCACAGCCCCCACTGCTCCCATTGGTGCTACTGCCACAGCCTCCCAAGCCCACCTCCCCACTGGCTGGGCAGACTGCCCGGCTCAGGCTGTGCGTGCTCTCCTGGGTAGAGCTGCCCAGAAAAAGCTCATCATCTGAGCCTTTGGGCTGGGTGAGCTCCTGGGAGGTATGGTGCGTCTTGCGCCCATCCACGAGCCCTGGGTACCGAGCCTGGATGACAGAGGCTGTGGAAAGCCGCTGGCTGCGTGGAGGCCGCCCCACGCCAGCAGCCCCCACTCGCCCAGGGCCAAAGGACTTTCCGGCTCGCTTGAGTTTGCGACGGCAGAGGGCTGCCAACTCGGGCAACTGGAGGTAGCTGGCGGCAGTGAGGAGAGTGCTGAAGTTGGGCTCAGCTGGCTGGTCGCTGGGCAACAGTTTGCCTGTGTAGATGAAATCCAGGATCTGCTGGAACACTGTGGAGCTGACCATGTCCGTGTCCAGGCTGATGAGGTTGTCATGCAGAACCAAGGACTTGAAGTAAATGCTGCTGGCAGCCAGAACATTCTTGTGGGCCCGGAAGACAGAGTTCTCCACCATGATGATGACATCACACAGGAATCCCTTGGTCCTCTGCTGGTTCAGCTGCAGCAGAAGCTGCTTCGAGTGGCTAGGCAGTTCCATGTCGGGCCCCATGTCCCTGCGCCCTGCCCACGGGCACCACCTATGGGCAAAAACAGGCCCAGTTAACTTGTACAAGGGCCCAGAGGTCAGAGTGGGACTCTCAGGGGCACACAAAGGGGCCTCTAGACTGAACTGGCAGCTGGAATCCACACTTGGTCCCACCCCCTTGGCATAAGTTCACTGTGTACAGGCACCTTCTAATCATTATCTCAGTGAGGCCTCAACTTGTCTAAGAAAGAAAAGAGCTCACCCAACCTACCTACTCTGTAATGTTGAGAAAATGGAGGTTGAGCATGATGAAGGAGCTAAGCAGCAGTTGGAATTTGACTTCATGGCCAAGGCTACTGTCTCCACACTAAAGGAAGTTGATCACAGGCCCACAAGGATAAACAGGGAACCCAAAAATGACCAGCAGATGGCTATGGAATTCAGGGAGCAGATAGATGTCTTCCTAGGAGAGCAGAAACCCTTGAGTAAGCTGACCAATCCTATGTGAGTATGCAGACCCACGGGGCTGAACTTCTCAGCTTTCCAGACAAGTGACAAATCCAGACTTTTGTGTGTAAAACGCCCTATGCTGAAAGGTTCTTTTTAAAAATACTGTATGAAGTTGGGTGTCAGTGGCTCATGCCTATAATCCTAGCTACTTAGAAGGCTGACATCCTAAGACTGAGATTTGAGGCCAGCCTGGGCAAAAAAGTTCACAAGATTCCATCTCAACCAATAATTAGACACAGTGGCATGCACCTGTCATCCCAAACTACTTGGGAGGCTGTTTGGGGCTGACTAAGGTTCTAAGCCAGCCTGGGTAGAAAGTTTAGGAGATGCCATCTCAAGTTAAAAAAAAAAAAAGAGAGAGAGAGCGTGTTGGTTCGCGCCCGTTATCTTAGCTACAGTGGAAAGTCTTAGATAGGAAGGGTTAAAGTCCAGGCCAGTCTGGGCAAAAAAGCAAACCCCTATCTCACAAAAAAAAAAAAAATCAGAGCAAAAAAAGGTTAAGAGGAGTGGCTGAAGCTGTAGAGTGCCTGTCTAGCAAGTGCAAAGCCTCACTGAGTTCTAACCTCAGCACTACCAAAAAGGAAAAAGACCAAAAAAACAAAATTGTGTGGGCCAAATCAAACTCATCTGCTGACCTCTGATTTGCAACCTCTGCGCTACACTGAGATGCTGTATTAAAACCTCCAGGCAGCCCAGTCCTTCTGATTTGCCAAGAGTCCCAATCCAGCCCCAGCCCCAGCTCCCAGACACTATGGCCATTCCCATGGCTGCTGATCCTTACGGTCTATCTCCAAGGTCTCATCTGGTGAAGACTGGGCACTACCCTAGCCCTTGGACACAACAGACCCTGTGCCATTTGGGCCTGGGAAAGGTGGCCAGCTGGCCCCTGGCAGACAGGCTGGCACAGATGCTAACTGAGGTAAGTAAGAAACACACAAGATGCCTCTGGTCTCGCCACTAGCCCACTGCCACAGCAGTTTGCGAATGGGATCTAGCCATGCTCTCCACCTGTCCTGAGCAGCTCCTAAGCCAAGAAGGGTACCCCACAGGGAGGGGAGCAAGTGTACGAAGTGTACAATGGGCCCCAGAAGAACAGAAATGCGAATGCCCTGGGAAGCCAGGGCAAAGGCCAAGACTGCGGCCAGGATTGCCCAAAACATTGCTCAAGGCTGACCTCAGCAACAACCAAACTCCCAACTGAGAGGAATAGCTTTGCCAGCCCTGTCCTCTCATCCCAAACAGCAGAGGAGGGTATGGGGGCCAAGGCTGGAAAGGGCATGTTGGTGCCCAGGTGGCTGCCTGAGCCCAGCCAGGTCCCCATAGGCTTCCACAGAACAGGAGGCCATGGAGATGGTCACTTTCTCCACTGCTGCTGGCAATGGGGTTGTCAAAGGTCTGCAGCGTGAGGCTGTGGTTCTAGCCTCCTTCAGGCTCCTACAACAGCTCCCACAGGCAGCTCTATGCCTCACCATTCAGGGTCGAATCTCTGTAAGTAGTTCAAATGCACTGAATTTCACCACCACTGAGGACCTCCTGCCCCTCCCAGGACACCCAGACGTCTTCCACGATACAAATGTTCCCTCCTATGACACAAATGTCCTCCCCAGTCCCATACCTGCCTTTATTTGGAGACAGGGAAAACCTAACAATCACATGTACATCAAAATTTCAGAGCTCATTGTAAATGTATGTGGGTATGACACAGCCCGAAAGCTATCACTCAGAGCCTCACAGTAAGCACCTGCCAGAGGGTACTACCTACTCCTTGTCCTGCCCCAGCTGAAACAACTCAGAAGGGTGCTCAGAGCCTGGGGACTTTGGAAATCAATCCTCTTCCATTCCCTGGCCCTCCAACCAGCTACGCAGAGACAAAGAGCCTAAGGCATGCCTTTCACACTGGGCCACAGATACCAGCTCCAGGACAACACCAGTGCCAGCTCTGTCTGCACCCAGGATGCCCGTTACCCTAAGCCTGGCAAAAGAACAAACAAAGGGCAGAAGAATTCATGTGCCCACAGCAGCCCCTTGTCCTGCCAGAACAGCAAGCTCTAGTCTCCCTACATGCTGTGCAAACACAAAAGACTACAGGCCAGGCAGAGGCTGAGCCTGCAGGGCTGTGTATGATCTACCCAGAAAGCCCAAGGAAAAAAGCAGGGGGAGATCCTCCCTCACCCAGGCTCCCCACTGGCTTACCGGAGCGCCAGGGGCCCAGAAACCATGTGAGCAGCAGCCAGCGGGGATGGCCTCCTTGAGCACGTGTACTTCCTGGGAGCGCATCAATGCTTGGTCACCTGGGGAGAAGACAGACTACTAAGACAGGTAACAGCAAGGAAGGCAAGAGAAGGACCACGAGGGAGAGGCAACTAGTGGCCCTGGATTTTACTCCCCAAGAGGTCTGAGGGAGATCTCTGGCTGGGAAACGTGGAGAAAGCCAAGCAAGAGATCGGCCACAGCGCCCTGTAGTTTCACGCAATTCATGGAAGACTGAGGAGCCCATCAGCAGGTCTGAAAAGCTGTGTTGGCACTACCAAACCCCCAACACATACACGAGATTTAGGATACTGAGGGGCCACCTAAGCCTGGGGAGGCTGGTGGCAGGCACACAATTCCAGGCAGGCAGGGTGAGGTGGCAGGAGGCCTGGGCAAAGCCCTTCCCAGGCTGGCCACATTTACATAACAAAAGGTCAAAATTGGAGCCACTTGTGCAAGGGCTATTTATAAGAACCAGTCTCAACCGCTTCTGGTTCCCCTGCCCCCTCCCTCCCCAGAGAGCACAGCCCCTCCTGCCCAGCTGGACCACATGGCCTCCTCTTCCAGGCCTGAGGGCTCGCCCCAGCAGCAGGCTAGGCCTTTTAATACTAACCCACCAAAGCCACTGGCAGCTGCTGCTGGATGAGGGTGGCTCTCTTCCCCCAGAGTTTTAGATCCTGCAGGAGGGGGATCCTGAGGTTCTGGGTCCCTGCACCCCACACAGACCAGCCTGGTCTCTCTTGGAATGGAGCCAGAACTGGGGGAAGGGACCTGCAGCAGCCTGGGCCTTCCCCCACCCCACCCCTAGGGCCAGGGAGGCTCAGCAGGTCCCTCAGGAATGTGACCAGACCCGGGGTGCTGGCCTAAGACTGGGAGGCCAGGCTTCAGGCTGCCAGCTGTCTCTCTAGTACCTCGGTGCAACTCCCTCTCCATGAGGGGAGAGCTGAAGGGAGGGGACACACACTCCTCCCAGAATCCCACCAAGGGTCCAGAGAGCAACAGAATCAGCTCTAGAAGTACAAAAACCGAGTGCTCTAAATTTAGTAAGACCTGACCCTGGCTGGGCCCATCGCCCACGAGGACAAGGGGACAGAGCAAAGCCAAACCTTGGAGGGGAGCAGAGGCTACCAAAAGTGGCAAGATGGGCTCCAAGGACCACAGAAGGGGCAAAAGGAAGTTATGGCACATATTTGAGCCAGTCAGATATCCACCACATAGCCTGGACCAAACCACCTGCTTCTTGTTTGGTTCCTCTAACCACTTGTGATCAACCAGAGCTCTGCAACATTCTCTCAGTGACCCCTGCATCAGCACCTGCCAGATCCTGCAACTAGGAGCTACTGCCCTTGATTGAGGTCAGGCCAGCTAGACACACTGTGCAGAGAGTGAATGGCAGAACAGGACCCGAGGTCACCTAAATGCTGGGAGATAAGAATGCCCTGTGACCACTGACCAGCTCTGCCAGGAACTTGCCATCCTATGTTAGGCTGAGTGGCTGACCAAGGTCTTCCAGCCAGGGAGGGGCAGGACTGGCTTCCCTGTGCCCTCTACTGGGGCACCCTCCACAGAAAGATGCAATAGAACACCTTACTGAGAGCTCACAGCAAGTAGGACACAGTGCCCTGCCTGCTGACCCCACTCAGGCCGGCCTATGAGCAACAATGTGACTTCATCCCGTGAAAAGGGACCACACACCACCCTGCTGTACCCTGCAGTTTACAAAGCATCTCTTTTCTTCCCAACCCAAACGATGATGGCCAACCACCTCTATCCTACCCTCTTTCTGGCCAAGTATGCCCTGGGCAGCACTTGCCCTGGAGAGGCCACAGTCTGGGGGACTGCCAAGGACCTGGAAACATGGCTTATAGATATCAGCCCAGGAAAAGTTGGGTGGAAGGGCTGGACACCAGCCCTGACAGAAGCCACCCACAGGTGGTAGGCATATACACACAGGCTGACACCCAGCAGACCCCATGGAAGGGCTGGCTCACCCAATCTGGTTAAGTCCTTCCTTGGGGCAAGGGGTAGGGTGGTACACATACAACTACTAAATGAAGTTATCTCTGGAGGGTGGGAGTAACAGAAAACTATCCATCTAATTAGTTGAAAACATTATAAATTAGTGAGGGATTGATCCCTTTCTTCACTATGGAAGAAAAGAAAGAAATACTGTAAATAAAAAATGTTACTTAATCAGGGCTAGTGGAGTGGCTCAAGTGGTAGAGTGCCTGCCTGGCAAGTGTGAGGCCCTGAGTTCAAACCCCAGTACCACCAAAAAAAAAAAAACACAAAACACCCACTGAAAAATGCATTTAGGGGGTAGTGGCCCAAATAATGTATACACCTGTAAGTAAATGTAAAAACGATAAAAAAAAAAAATAAAGTAGTAATTGACATTTTAAAAAAAAGGGCATTTAACCCACTTAACCTATAGAACATCACAACCTAGCAATACACCACACTGTAGAACATCAGTGGTTTTCCCTTGTGGTCTTTGGGTTGACCAGGAGCCACCCCAGTATCACATAAAAGGAATGTACTCAGCAGGGCACCGGTGGTTCATACCTGTGATCCTAGCTACTCAGGAGGCAGGGATCAGGAGGATCTCAGTTCAAAGCCAGCCCAGGCAAATAGTTCCACAAGACCCCCTATCTCAAAAAACCCTTCACAAAAAATAGGGCCAGTGGAGTGGCTAAAGGTGAAGACCCTGAGTTCAAGCCCCAGTACCGCAAAAAAAAAAAGGATATGCACTCAATCACTAGCCTGGGGATCAAAATTCAAAATTCAAACTTGAAAATTTCTACTAAATGCTTATCACATCATAAAGTTGAAAAAGTGTAACTCAAACCATAATAAGCAACATTTTAAATGAGCATGTATTACTTTTAAAATGAAAAGGGAAAAAAAAGGCAGAAAGAAAGGACAAACATGCATGAATCTGAAGTGAAAGATTTACATGAGAGGAGAGGCCATTGACATCAAGTTCTACAACAGGCAAGATGGCGAAATGAGATGGAGTTACTCATTTGGTAGAGCGCCTGCCTAACAAATGTGAGGCCCTGAGTTCAAACCACAGTACAACAACAACAAACCTAAAACAGGCAAAACTGACGCAGGAAGAAATTAAATCCGAGCAAGCTTTGAAGAGTGAGCTGAAAACTACCTAGCAACAGGAGGAACTTCTGGGCCATGGGTAGCTCTATCTTGTGAGGAGTCTGGGTAAAGGTGGGTGCACCTGAGCACTTCATTGCATGGCAACCTCACCTCAAATGAAATCAACCCACCAACCCTAAGGAGAGGTTTGTTTTCACAAGACATTCTCGTATCAGCAGCTTAGCCACTATGCCTCTCTTCCCTCTGGACTCAAGAGCAGCTATGTTCAGTGGGCACTGCCATAAGCCCTGCCACCCAAATGCCCTGCGCTGCCCTCCTTTCATCATCACATAGTTCAGCTAAGCCTCCACCTCAGCACCCACCCCACTTGTCACCTCTCCACAAGGGAAGACGTCCTGAGATGGCTCATCTGCAGCAGTAGGCATGGACACCCCCTCCTGATGGTGGTTTCTTGCCCACCTGATGACATTCAACTTCCATTTGACAACTGGCACATGGGAAACAACATCTCACATGAGCAGAACAGCCATAAATGGTACAGGTCCCTGTCCCTCCAGGCTTCTCCCTGGCTGTGTGGGTTTTGGTGTATCTCCAGGGGCAGTAAAAGCCCCAGCCCAGAACATCCTTTAGGACCCCACTTCCCTATACTCCCAAGATCCCTGTATCCACCCCATACATACCATCTGAATGGTCAATGACAATGACAGATGACACACCTTTCCACTTTCACCTCACTGCTTCTTAGCCCTCAGAATGACATTCCATCGGAAACCCACCCACCCATGATCCCATGGGGATAGCAGGCTGGATCAGGCTACCTCAAGGCTTCTCTTTCCAACACCACACAATAGGCAGGAAAACATGCTACACCAGTACCTTTCTAAGGCTGAGAGAGGTTTTAAGATGCTTAAGCAGGAAATGAAGAACTATATGCCTTTTGATGCTACTGCCCCAATCTGGCTTGAACACACCCATACATTTCGCCCAAAGCCTTGGCTTCTGAGGCCACACACTCAGCACTGCTCTAGTTCTTGGGCTTTCCTCTGGACACCAAACTGGCAGCCCTGCCTTTGGGACAAAAGCACACCCCAAACCCATCTCCAGGCCCAGTGAAAACCAAACTCCAGGTGTGGTTTTCGACCACATGATAATCCTCACCCTTCTCCTACTGAATGCCTAATCCCTGCAGGCAAGAATGAGCCCTCCTTGAGGCATCCAGGGGCACCTGGACTGGAATTCTTCCCGTCTTACATCCAGCCAGGAGGCCCAGTGAAAAGGGTAAAGGCCAGGGAAGGGGAACATCGTCACTCTGCCCTGCAGATAACTTTCTCATCCTGCCTCTCCACCCTACCCAGCAGCCATTGCTCATGTCCCCAGAAGAGCACATCCTGCAGGAGACCTGGAGGGCTAAGGAGAAGATCTTGCCTGGCCAAATGGATAGCCTCTGCTACCTTAACCACCATCCCCAGAGTGGCTCATTTCTTGGAATGAATGCCCAGCCAGAAGAGTGAAACAGGAACCCTCCAGCTGGTTCTGAGATAGTAAAAGTGCCACTGCCAGGTGAGAGGGACAAGTCATAGAAACACCAGGCAAAGATCACCACTGGGCAGGCACCAGGCAGCTTCTATATCCCAAAGGTTTAAGCACATTTGACTAGTGTCAGAGAGAGCCCCCAAACCTGAATGTGGGGACAACACCACACCTTCATTACAGTCACCTCATACTCCAGGAATGGTGCCTCCCAAGCCATGGAAGAGAATGCTTAAAAGGGACAAAGCAGCTCAGGATACAGAAGGACCCCAAGGCTCAGGGCTGGACCCAGCTAAGAGATCAGCCACAAATCCAAGACTCCATTCAACCAGTTCTCTGATATGGAGTCTTCCTCCATGGCCCAGGTAAGATGGGCCTGCTCACTGGGGGTATGGGG